CTAGCGATGGCTTCCAACGCCTCCAAACTACTAGCAATGGCCTCCAAGCTAAGTCTTTTTTGCCGGATTCCATATGATTCCCCTTTTGCATTTGCAACGGTCGATGCCCAAAGAGTCGATGCTGGCAGGGCCTTTGCCCGAGAGCCGAGTTTTCGAGCATTGGCGGGTGTGACTGCCTGGGCCTTGGACCGACGCTGCAAACGGGGCTGAAGGAGATCAAACGGCCAAAAACATGCCAAAACCAATCAATCTTCCAGTCATGTTCCTTTTTCATCCCTTGGATCCACTGCCAGGGCGGAGCTGGTGCAAGTGGCAAGCGTGTGCAAGTGGCGCGTTCGTTCGGTCGAAATCGGTTGGCCAGGCGCGGCGGCTGCACATTGAGGACCCTTTCTTAATTGACAGGAGACAATGGGTCAAGGGGTCGGATCAGGGGTTTTTAAGGCACAGCCAGCGACAGCACCAGCAGAAAAGGATTCCTTTGCCGAAAGTATTGGACGTCTTGAAGAGGAATCTCTTGAAACACATGCAGCGCATGATCATGCTGGATCATGTGAGGAAATTGGTAGGATCCCCTTTCGAAGCTCGATGCCACTGACTTGCGCGAGGAACCTTAATTGTACATTGGGCTACGAGCAGGAAGCACTACTCAAAGTGCCGGAGCTTCTTTCAGTGCCAAACACGCCTCCCAAAGACGAGCGGTGTCGGGTTCTAGAAAGAGACGTGGAGACGGAGAATGGAGATGGATGGCGTTTTCGCCATGAAAAAGGGTGTGGTATGCTAAGTAGTCCTTGAGCCTTTTCTCACGCGGGACCAGCCCAAAACCAGGAAGAAAACGGCTTTTCGCCATGACGGGAAAGCCTAGAATGTTGGATCTTGATTAGTAAAGGGCCCCCCCTCAAAATCTGGAGTCTGGCAGGCTGTGGAAGTGCACCTTTTTGACCAATTAACTTAGCTCTACTAAGTTATCTGACATGTTTGCCTTCATTTGCTAGTTGTGACTTAACACAAGTATTTCGCCAAGTATACTCCTTCAGGGAAATGCTACAAGGTGCTCTATTTGTAATTCAAAATGCATCAAAATGCTGAATGTGATGAACAAGTTAGAGAAGCCAAAACACAAAATAAAACAAACAAAACCAACCAACTCTTCAGAAGTCTTGTCTAGGGGTAGGTGTTCAAAAACCAAAAAAACAAAAACAACAATCCTAGAAGACTCTTTGGTGAATAAACCCCAACCCCCCCCAAAAAAAAAAAAGCAATCCTAGAAGACTCTTTGGTGAGTAAACCCCCCCAAAAAAAAACACAACAATTGCTGGGAGGTCTTGGGCTGGGGGGGGGTGTCCAAAGACTCTGTCAGGATTGTTTTTTTTTGGTTTACTCACCAAAGAGTCTCGCAGGATTGTTTTTTTGTTTTTGTTGTTCAAGGCCTATGCATTTTTCAGAGTACAGCAGTTGAGATGTCCTTGGCAGTACTGGTGCTGTGAATTAATCTCAGTAGATCCTTGAACTTTACTAAAACATGCACCTCCAGATCACTCAAAATAGGTGAAACAGTGCACTTCCAGGGCCTGCCGTTCTGTAAACAAATGGGATGCCCTGTATATAAACTACCACCCAAACAAATCTGCGTTGCTGGGAGGATTCCTTTAGTAATTGATTGTAGTATGTGTTTTCCTTCAGCAGATCTTGAGGTCGACTACCTTGAAAATGTGTTTAGGAACAATCTTTAAATAAAGGATTGATTAAGGAGTTGAAGGCTTTGGGAAGCTGCGAGTTTTGAAGAACTAAAGAAACATATGATTACCAATAATACTCTCAGCAAGCCAGCCATTGGCTCAGTAGTATGAAGATGTTCTTTTCTGATGAAAACCACTTTGCACAATTCAGAACCCTCAAAACACATGCACTTATTATTGAGGTTCAGGGGCCTTCCTGGTCTACTACCTTGAAATTTAATTTAGGAGCAATCGTTATATAGAGGAGGATTGATTAAGGAATTGATGGCTTTGGGAAGCTGTGAGTTTTGGGGAAGATCTAGAGAAACCTATATATATATATATACACTCATCAATAATCTCAGCAAACCAGTCATTCGTCAATGGCTTAGTAGTATTCACAGATCTCCGAAGGATTTGAAACATTTTAACTTTCAGATTAGCCCAATAGAGAACCCCTAAAACAAACATGTCCAGAATTATGTTTGGACAATTTAGCATTTTCGAGGACTCGACCCTATTATTAATCAGGATCCAACACTAGTGAAGCCATGTGAAGCCTATTTCTTTCAAGGAAACAAACCCGACGACGCGCAGGGGGGCCCTTGGGTGAATGAGGTTCCACGAGACTCAGTCCTTTCATCCTCATTCCTTACGAGTCGCGCCAAAGCCTGAAACCTCCACCAGTCGCGGTCTGACCTGAAGCCTGAAGCTTCATCGAGGTGCAATTTTTCTCCACATACACAGCGTTGCAGAACCTGGGCCAGATTTGAGGCGATGTCTCACTCTGATGAGTTGATGGACCGACAAGAATGGATTGCGTTCAATGGAGACTCTTGAACTAGAACGCCCCCCCAAAGAAAGAACAAACACACACGCCGATGGACATAAATCAAGAGGAAAAACACTGTCCAGCAATCTAACAAGTTTGTTTCGTGCCCCTCGCAGGCATTCCCATTTGCGGGTGACCACGTGTGTGCTGCCAAATCTTGTGTCTCGAACCGAGGAACGGCCAAATCCCTTCAGTCTTCCTCTCTGCTCAAACCAAAGGACCGGGTGACTGGCCAAGATTTGCCCAAGACTTGTCAAGAACATGTTACAAATTACAAAGAGTAAGTTTTACGTTTGCAGCAAACGGATGTATCGAAGGGAAAAAACGCCCGTGTGAGCCCTTTGAAGCTGCTAGGCTGCTAGCACTGTGCCAAGGCAAATCAGCTCCTAGACCTCCTCCCCCTCCGCTCCACGAGCCTGGGGCTTTGCGGAATGAGCCCGGTGCACAGAACATGACGCTTGGCCGAAAACCGCCTCATGGGTCCGGTTCGCTCGGTCCTCATGGGTCCGGTTCGCTCGCATGTGGAAGCATGTGGAAGTCAAGGGGCCAAGGGGTTGGTTAAGGGAAAATCCACAGGAGACCAGGAGTGACCGAGTAATTCCTGAAGGAGCGACCGAGTAGGTTTCCCAGCTGATTTCTTTTCTAGCCAATTCTGGGAGGAAGGTCGGCTTGGCTTGCGCCATGATCCAAGGATTTTCTTGACACCCGAAGGACCTCAAGCAACAGAGGTGGGCGATTCGACACCGTTATCTCTCGTGTCGCTAACAGGCTAGTGGTTTTCTTGGTGCGCAAATGTGCCAAAGCTGAACTTCATCCACATCGATCGTCGATCTACTGAGCCGAAGGGCATCCAGCTTCGCCTTGGGCCTTTTGCAAGAGAGCGCGTGCGCATGGGTTCAGCGATGCTCAGCTTCTCAACCGGCACCGGAGGTTCCGAAGCCTTCATTCCTGAAGTCATGACAGTTGTGCTCGGGCCCCTGGTGGGGGCATTGTGGATTGCCTGGCGCGCCTGTGAGAGGAGGTTGTAGCATGTTGTAGTTGTAGCTGATTATTGTTGACGAGAAGGCAAGCCCCTGGTTTCAGCACATGCATGTACATTGCTTCACAAATCATATCCTTTCAAACCCTTTTTTGTGTTCTTCTCAGGGCAGACCATTGTCAAACCTGTTTGTTGTCCGGTACGGTCATATTTAGAGCCGGAAACCGCCACACCATCGATGTCTCAAGAATGTGAAATGCACCCAGGCAGAGATCGATGATACATGAGTGCGGAGTGTTATGATGACTCATGCAGACTAAAGCTAATGGATGCCACTGATGCCACATGATGCCAATAATTACTGTATTGTTTGTGTAATTTTGTGTACTTCTATATACCTATATACTGATACAGATACATATTGTATCATGTATAATTTAACATAATATAATATATAGTATACATATATCATTGTCGTGCAGCCCTTTGTGAAATGGTCTTCGCCCCAACCTCATGGCTGGGCCTCAGATTGCTCCATGGGAGGGAGTCTCCCTCAGAGTCTTCCACGTCCTGGCACGACATTGCAAAGAAATGAGAATGAACTAACAGCATCCATATTTGCATCCTGAAGAAGATGTAGTACATTTCCATGGAATTCTCGATGGATCCTGGGCATTCCCTGTAGACTGAGTCGACCATGTGTCGCCATGCTGTTGCCCACCGATCGATGGCCTATCCTGCTGATCCTGCTGGTCTCAGCCTTCGGCTTCTCAGTCCAAGCTTTCTTGGCAACTGGGCAGGAGCAGTGGAGCGGCTGGGGGAAGGGGGGAGAATGTCGAATTGGACTCAGCGTGGTTGCTTTGCTTTTGATGCCTTTGTCAGTTTGAGTAGTCTTGCAATCCTGCGAAGATCAAGAAGCATGCTAATTATGCTGGGAACCAGCCCAGGTCTGTGTTTGCTGGTCAATCAGCCCTCCGAGCATACAACAAGCTGAGGTAAGGTGCCTCACGCTGGAAGAGGTTGGTTCTTTCCAGATCCTCACCCTCAGAGGAGTCCGAAGTGTTGGTCGAAGAAACATAAAGACATGCCGTTTCCATGTTCTTTGGCGTATTTTGACGTGTTTTGATGGGGGGGAACCCGGGTAAAGCAGTCATTTCTTTCTCCGGTCGTCAACGTTGACTTCCTGCTGCTCCCTGCGCACCCTCCCCATGGTCAGGATTTGGACAGGTGCTTGGCTCTTGCCTTTGCCTTTCTGCAGAAGGCGCCCAGGGGCAGCACAACGAGCGGTAGCATCTCTCCGAAAGAGATGCACGAGTCCCGAAATCCCAAGTAGGCCTGAGACGCGCGGGTTTGCTTTATACAAACGCTTTGGAGCATCCAAATTGGCGTGGTGGAAGTGACACACTGCAATCAAAGCGGGAGATTGCATTCATGGGAAGTTCCTACAGAAAGAGTTGGATTAATTTCGCATAATGTCCGCCTCCTAATAGATCAAGTGTGGGCCCCAAATAATATGAAATCCGTAAAAATCCTAGAACATCTTGATTTGAATTGGAAATGAAAGGAAAGGAAAGGAAACTAAAGGAAAGGAAAAGAAATGAAAGGAAAAGGAAAGGAAAGGAAAATGAAAAGAAAATCAGGGTCCAGAAAAAATAGTATTATTTGAGGGCCATTTATTGTTGGTTTTTGAAAATATTTATATAGTATTATTCACGGGCCATTTATTATTATGAGGTCAACATTATATATATATATATATTATAATATAATAATATATATTATATATATACTATACATATTTATCATGTAGGTCTATAATGTCGACGTAGGATTAATCACCCCCCCCCTCAAGGTCAACAAGGTTTTAGATTTGAGGTGTTGGAGACCAGATCCCCGTAATAAAGGTAATGATGGACGATGAGGTGATGACCTGGACCTGGTGATGGATGGTGGTTGATGGGGTTCTGTGTGAATCATGAGCGGTTGATGGGGTTCTGTGTGAATCATGAGCGTTTGAGCCATGAGAACCATGAGAGCTCTTAGTCTTAGTATATTGGCACAATCTTGACAAGAGATTTGATAGATCAGAGCCATGCCAATTGGATCACCGCATATGAGAGCATGGAGGAGGAATGGGGGATGCAGGCTCTATGTTGTGAGGGTGGATGCATGTGGATGCCTATACTGGATGGTCAGATATTGGATGCCAAGTGACAAAAATTGATCTAATCAAACATAATTAAGTCATTTCATATAGTTAATTCATATTTACATATATGTATTCTTTTTCTGGGTGCAGATGGCCGTGATTAATAGGAGGAGGTTTCTGATTCTGCGGGTGAGGACAAAGTGAAATTTCAGGCTTTAAATTAGTCGGTTCTTGGGGGGCTTGAACCGGGCTTGATTAATATGGGGAGGTTGGTTAATCCTAAGTTGACATTATAGTCGATCGGTTGACTCGACCATGTGAGCTTCCTAGGATCTTTCAGTGCAGCTACTCAGCATGTGTCGAGGCGTTCGGGTGAAAGCATGGTTGGGCACCACTTCCAGCGATCGCATGGCGTTGCTGGGCCGAGCTTTCATTGGCTACCTGGCCCTGTGCTTCAGCCACTCGACCTCATAGTCCCCACCTGAAGGGGGGCTGTATTCATTGTGTATTAATTCATTGTATCCGGACTTCGGCTTCAAAAGCATAGGTTCTTCCATTGGTTCAATGGCTGCTTCAAATGCTGTGCTCATTGTGGTTCCTTGAACACATCCCCTCACCGCGCTTGACGTGGTTCCTGTCACGCTGTGCTTCGTCATTGACATCGACTCGCCGAGGCGTTTGGTCCGTTCACTTCATGCCCTTGGCCGACTGGCAGATTTGGGAGCAGACGGCGCCCATGTTCTCGGCCGCTTTCTGACAAGTTCGGTCAATTCATTGGCATGCTTTCTTCTGGGAAATGGCTCAATTCCTCAAGGTGGTTCAAGAAGATGTGTTTAGTTGAGTGAAGCCCTTTGGCGTAGTTGTAGCCACTTTGGCAAGTGGCTGTGAGTGCAAATCCCTGCAAGCGCTGCATCGCTGCAGTCGGCCCAAATCACCGCCGTTGGAAACAATGACGGATGAGACGTCGCTTCAAAACCCTTTCCACAACCGACGCATACAAACGCCCTTCAGAACCATTATGAGAGGAACATCACTTTTTCCTTTGTTGTTGGTGTTCTTCTGCGTCTTTTTCGGCCTACAGGCGGCCTAAGTTTTCCCCACCACTTGTCGGTGTTCCCGCACCCGTTCCCGCTCCGCTGGACTGACTGCGCGGTCCGTGTGTTGGACTGGCACAGTGGGGTGCTGGACCGGAAGAAAGGGCAGGACCGGTGACAAACACATGCCACACGTTTGATGTCAGCGATGTCAGAACACACGTCAGTTCTCGGAATGTCGAAACACTTGTCGGACAGTGGCCAGAACAATTGACAGAGCTTAGGTGACCTGTCAGAATGCATCAAAATATATCAGAACATACGTCAGAACAAATGCGAGAACAAATGGCAGGTTTGATGGCAGAACAACTGTCAGAATACATGACCAAAACATGACAAATCGCAGCGCACATGTCAGATCAGAAACCGGACCATATGTCACAACACGTGTCAGAACACATAACAGAGTTGATGCGAGAGCACCTGGCAGAAGTACATGCCAGAAAACATGTCGGAACACATGCCAGACTTGACGGCAGGGCCATTCTCAGATCACATGCCAGAAAGGATGACAGGGCAGAGTCTTGAACATGTTTGTTTCTTTGGTCCATTCCTTTTGTTCTTCCTTTGCTTCAACTTTCCTACCATTTGTTGCACTAGTCTTTGCACACAGCCTTGCTAAGTTGTTTACACACATTTTAGCCTATTGTTAAACCATTCTGCTAAACATGCCAGATGCTCAGAAGACTGGCGGTCGTACCCAAGATTTCTACGCGAGCAAGATGTTTTTTGAACAAGACCTCAGTCAGAGCCCTGAAATGAGCAAGATTTGACTTCGGTTCAGAAATGGGTGTGTTGCCATCACGTCCCCAGAAATTTGGAGTTTAAAGGACATCAAATGAAGAGCCATGGCGGGCAATTGGTTGGGGGCTCCCTGAGGTTGACACAGACAGGAGTTACATAATGTTGCGTGCCAGCTTTTGATGCTTTTGCAATGGAGGTGTGTTGGAACCCTGATTCATGACTATAATCAGATACAATACGACATCAGTTGTGCTGGATCGTCCTGAGGTATTGGCATATGTTGAAATAGCTGGAGTATGAATAATGAAACCCACCAAAAAGACATGATCGGTTTCCATCCGGTTTCCTATTGATCCTATATTGCTTTCTTGGGATCTTCCAATCATCGATCTACTCACCCACTGAGGCGGCCTTGGCCCGGGTCTTCCTCAAGGAGCACTGGAGTGGCACAGAGTTCTGGGGTGCGCTGGGAGCGGTCTTCGGTGTTGCTTTGATGGAAGGTCAGCCGGAAGGTGAGCGGTCTTCGTCTCTTGGCCGAGGGATGTCCCTCAAAGACAGGCAGAGGATGCGACAACATGCGACAATGCGTTCATTCGATTGATGGGCGTGATCTTGTTACCGTAGTTTCTAGAGAGTTTCAGAGTAGATGACACAGACCCCATGATGGCCTTTAGATGAGGGTCCACATACACCTCCTCTTGGGGTCTGTGCCATATACTCTCAATCCACTATAGATCGATGTCACCAGCCAGGCCAGAGTGAAGACACCAAAATGGACCAACCATTGGGGACGCCGAGGATTGAAACGACCTCAAGGGTCGGCGGGTAGCTCGCTCAGCTCGCTCTTCGTCTTTAAAAATACGACGATCCGGGTGCTCGGGTTCCGGTGAATCAGCTTCATCACGACGCATCAGCTTCATCAGGAACTCCAGTGACGGAACTCTCGGAGCTGTCTGCTGTGGTTTGCTGTCTGCTTCCTTCAGTGGTGGAGTCT